ACACTCACTACTTTACATTGTAGCAAAGTGTCATTTCTTCAGTGTTGTCACATGAAAAGATATAATAAAATATTTACAAAAATGTGAGGGGTGTACTCACTTCTGTGAGATACTGTATGTGATGTAAATAAACATGTATTTACATGAACTTTTTGCAACATGTCTAATAAAATGTTCTCTTAGACCCTACGGTGTCAGGAGTGGCCTGCCGTGTTATCAGAAGTCAGATGCAATGCTGGGGCGGGCTTTAACTTCACGCAGTGATTCAGACTGAACATGTGCGGTGTTGTCAAAATGGACATTATCTCAGCTCCTATGGGTGAGAGGCAAGATGCCTCTACATATTTTAGAATGCTAATCAATTATTGAAAGATATTTTTGAACATATCAATTAAAAAAAAATTTGACACTTGTGACTGGTTTTGTGGTCCAGGGTCACCTATACCAATCAAACCAATTTGATTACAAAAATAAAATTTCTTAAGAACCTGGCAGCTTTTTAAAAGATTTGCAATTGGCCCATATAACCAACCTATGTGATAATGAAACTAATTATTTAAACAAGTATTATTTACCTAAATATTATTATGAGATGAAATTATTACACTGAAAAAAAGAAATATGATATAAATTAAAATTAAACCTTATTATATAAACAATATCTTACAGCCTATGTTTAGTGCGTTTTTCCCTGGGATGTCATAATGACATGCGTCTTGCCCAGGCAGGTTTAGACTCGCTGGTTAATCAATGCAACCGTTCACCGTTCCCTGCAGCTTCAGCATTATTAGCCGTGTCTCAATCCCTCCGGAGCTGCCTACCTAGACAGCATTTCGTCCATCGCGTGCACGGTCCGAGCCAGCCGCCCAGAAATGCCGTAGGTAAGACACGGCCATCTTCAGCTCTCAGACAGCGCCTGTGCTCAGAGGAGCGCACTGGATAGTAGACATGACGGAGGCCGATCCTGCGGCGAAACGCGGCCCTCCCGACTACAAGAAGCTGGCGCGGCTGTACTGCATGAACGGAGGATTTCACCTGCGGCTCGCGGCGGACGGAACCGTGGAGGGAGCGCGAGAGGAAGACGATTACAGTGAGTTCCGCTGCAGATGATTAGAACGCGTTTATCGATGCTACGGTAAACCGTCTCGTTAGTGTGAGTGTGCTGCCGGCAGAATGAGAATAAAGTAGACGACATTGGGATTGATATTTTAAAAGGGCAATGTGCTTTGTGCTGAAAAGCATATTTTTCCCTCAGCATTGCTCTTGAAACATGAAACATGTTAGTTATAAAAAATTAAATAGGCCTATTTAAACTGTACTGAATACGTATCAGTGTGTCAGTAATTTAGCATTTTATCTATGCATCCATCTATCCTCATGCATGTGACCCTGGAGCACAAAAGCAGTTTTATTTGTAGCAATAGCCAACAATACATTGTATGGGTCAAAATTATCCATTTTCCTTTTATGCCAAAAATCATTAGGATATTAAGATCATGTTCCATGAAGATATTTTGTAAATGTCCTACTGTAAATATATCAGAACTTAATTTTTGATTAGTAATATGCATTGCTAAGAACTTCATTTGGACGACTTTAAAGATGATTTTCTCAATATTTAGATTTTTTTGCATTCTCAGATTTTCAAATAGTTGCATCTCGGCCAAATATTGTCCTGTCCTAACAAACCATACATCAATGGAAAGCTGAAAATTATTCAGCTTTCAGATGATGTATAAATCTCAGTTTCGAAAAATTGACTCTTATGACTGGTTTTGTGCTCCAGAGTCTCTCTCTCACACACACACACACAATAAATAAACATATATACTATTACACACACACACACGCGCACACACATATATACTATTACACACATACAAATATACATGCATACATTTACACACACGGAGCTGGGTACATTACTTGTCATTTGGAATCAGTAACGGATTACAAATTGCATGGCAAAAATTGTAGTCAGTAACGTAATCCATTACATTACAGATTTTAGGTAATGTAATCAGATTACTTTTGTCCTCATTTATCACATTTAAATAGGATAAGCTTGTACCATAATGATGTAAAAATACAGAATGGAAAAAATATTCCATTCATCATTGTAATTAACAACATGAAGTGTATTAAAAATTATATTACATCAACGTTTCCCAAACTGGGGTTCATAAAGGAACTGTGAGTTTAATGAAAAGCTACAAAGATTCACATCCAGCAGGCCAAAAGCTCAATGTGGGTGCTCAACCACAAACTAATCAGAGCAAAGTTGGCACGACCTTTTTTAACTTTAGTTCATGTGTAATGCTCCTGTTTGAGCATAACATCCGCAAAGGGAGATATTTTCTTTTACAGAATTTGCTTTTTAATGCAGCACTATGTAAATTTGGTCGCTCTAGCTGTTAATAAACGGAGCTGCACACATCCCACGGAAGAACATTCCAGCCGGAGCTACTTCTCTAAGTTTATGTCTCTGGCGATTCACGCAGGTATGTGTTCCTCCGCAGCGGTGACCAGCCTACAATAGTCCAAATATAAGTACTTATTATAAGTGCACCGGAGTGATTCGGAATAAGGCAAAAACGCGGTTTGGAAGATGAATTCATACTCGCTCATTATATACATTTTGCAAATTTTGAACACAGAAAAAGTTACATAGTGCTGCTTTAAGGACTACAACAAACAGCTGGTAGGGACTACAACGAGCTTCTTCCTTGGTTTGTGACCTCATGAACCCTAAAATTGACATAAACCCTGCCAACACACTGACCAATCTGAGCCCGTTGCCTATTTCTGAGGAAGGGGCTTCAGAGAACCAGGAAGTCAACAGACTGTTTTTAGGAGAACGGAAACAGCGTAAAAAAAATAATGGAATAAAAAAAAAAACAAGCATGAACACGTGTTACAGTGCCCCCCATAAACACAATCAAGCCTTCGAAACTAGCTGGTTGACCACCCCTTTATTTTATTCAGATGACAAAACGTGTGCCAATGTCTGCATTACATGTGAATAACGAGTTTGAAAGACAAAAGCCTTTCAATAATACATGGTTAAATAACCTACTGATTCATCAGTAGTTGATGCAGTGTTGAAACACTTTTGTAAATCCAGCGGCCAGATGCTGTGTATCCACCTGTGACTGATCTCAAAACTGGACGTTCTGAGTCTATATAAGCGGTAGGCTATTTTAGAAAGGAACATTTAAGAGGAATTAGGGAGAATCAATAAATTGTGAATAATTTATTGCAATTGTGTAAATAATATGCAATCATGTAATCCATAAAAAAAAGTAACTGTAGTTTGATTACGAGTATTTTAAAATGTAATTTACTCTAATTACAAGTACTTCTTTTTGGAATCTGATTACATAATCCAGATTACATGTAATCAGTTACTACCCAGCTCTGTACACACACACACACACACACACACACACACACACACACTCTCTGTCTCACACACACACACACACACACACACACACTCTCTCACACACACACACACACACTATCTCCCTCTCACACATACACACACTCTCTCACACACACACACACACAAACTCTCTCACACACACACACACACACACACACACACACTCTCTCACTCTCACACACACACACACACACACAAACTCTCTCACACACACACACACACACACACACACACACTCTTTCACACACACAGACTCACACACTCTCACACACACACACAATAAAGTGTGTGAAAAGATTTACATAAAGTGTGTACATCAACCTGTAAGCATGTCTACTCTAATGCTCAATATTATTACAAAATCGTTTAGACTATTTTGTTAACTTGACATTAAAAATTATTTACACTGCTATATATATATCTTGCTTGAAAACTTCATTTTATCCCTAAAAACATTTGTCCTTGATCTTCTGTTATTCTGGATGTTGGACACTGTTCTGGAATGTAGGATTGTTCTGTATCATTTTCAATAATCCTCCCATATTTACAACAGTCTTACTGTCTGTGTGTGTGTGTGTGTGTGTGTGTGTGTGTGTGTGTGTGTCTGTGGTTTTAAAGGCATACTGCGCATAAAAGCTACTAGTCCAGGAGTGGTGGTCATTGAAGGAGCAGAGACAGGACTTTACCTCTCTATGAATGAAGACGGCAAGCCGTACGCTTCAGTAAGTCGAATGAAATCCTTCTGATACAAAGGCATAAAACTTCATCAGTATTTTTTTGAACTGATGCATGTTTTTTTCCGTCTTTGCAGTCATTAGTAACAGATGAAAGTTATTTCTTGGAGAGGATGGAGGAAAACCACTACAACACGTATCAGTCTCAAAAGCACGGTGAAAACTGGTACGTCGGGATAAAAAAGAACGGAAGAATGAAACGCGGTCCAAGAACACACATTGGACAAAAGGCGATCTTCTTTCTCCCTCGACAGGTGGACCAGACAAAGGACTGAAGCCTGAAACCTGATCATATTTCATCACAGAATAACTGCTAACACTTTACAATAAGATCCCATTTGTAAACATTAGTTAACTACTGCTCATTTCATGGACCTAAACTAACAAACTAACAATAAAGTTACATTTTCATTATCTAATGTTAGAAAATAGAAATAAATACTGTATATTTAGTGTAGAAAAAAAATACTGTAACAGATGTATTGCTCATTGTTAATGCATCAGATAACTTTAATTATTAGGACATTATTGTAAAGTGAAGCGCTACATACATAACCCACTGTTAAATCACAGGATTCCTCCACTAACTACACATGAACCGCAGCTAACGCACTGTCAGACGGCTGAATAGACAACAGATGCAGACGAACAGAAGTTTAGATGGAAACCTTACTATTTAAATATGCACTGACAAAGAAAGATATAGTATCTAGAATAAAACTACTATAATAGTAATCTATTTTTTTTTTTAATTGTAAATTGAGTTCTTCAGTCCGAACAATCTTAAATGCCATTTCATGTTGTATTTTCTTATGGTTATGTAATCATGTGTGTCTGATTGCGTTTCATTTTTCTGTTCATGAGCAACGCTATTGTGCTGTCATTGCACCTTTCTGGATCATGTTGCACAATAAATCTCCTCACTGACATGTACTGTGTCCAGTCATTGACGGTATATATATTCATGTAAAATTATAATAACTGCAAATGAATAAATGGTAAATGTTACTATAAATACTACAATACATAACCAACAAATCATAGTTCATCTTTACTAACACATGCATAATAGATGTATACATAATTGTTAAAGTTAAGATCATTCAGTTGAGGATCTAAAAGTTTGGAGTCGATAAGATTTTTTGGGGGGAAGGTGGAGTTAATGGTTTTGCTAGGCAAATGATCAAAATGCTTTTCTTTGGAATTTTCTTATTAATCAGAAATTAGAATATGCTCATAGGATCATGTGACACTGAATAATGCTCAAAATTCAGCTTTGTCATCACATGAAACCAAATGCATTTTAAAATTGATTTAAATAGAAAACCTTTGTAATAGTATTAGGGCTGTCCATTTAGCGCATTAAATCGGTGCGGTTAAAATAGAAAAAATTATGCGTTAAAATGATTAACGCATTAAAATCAGCATTGATGCAATTAACAAGATGACTGACTGGTTTCACAACATTACTACTAAATAAAAGCAGCATCGGTGAGAATGAGAGACTTTTCAAAAATATTCAAATCTACAACCACAAACTGGAAGCAGTAGAGTATAATACTGACAAATACACACGTGATCTGTGGTGTTGCCATATGTGTTACATTTATTAAAAGTTACTCGACAAGTGTAAAACATACAAATCACAAACGACACATCGTGAAGCACTATCCCATACTGAAGTCTTCAAGAAAAACAAAAAGACCAATGAACCATCTACTGCTACATTTGGCATCATAAAACATTCTGTTATTCACACTGATTGATTAAGCGCATTACATATTCAGGAGTGCTTTAATGCTGAATTAGTTTGCTGTTTATATTGAACTGCTATGAATCTAAACTAACCTATTATATAATAAGAGTATTTTGGTCCGTTTGGTGACTAATTTAAAACAAGCCGACATATTTTCTAATACACTTTTAATATGCTTTTGGCTTTACAAGGACCTGGCAGTCGCTCTGTGCATCTAGTTCTTGTTTATATCTTGAAAGTGCATGTTTATAACATTTAATATCTCTTTTCTCGTATAATGTATATATAGTTCAGTTACTAGATTTACCCACAAAGTAAAATTACAACTTTCACACAAATTAAGAGAAAACCCACAGAAACAAACTGTGACTGGGAATTTTACAATAACTGGAGCACATGCACATGTAAGCTTCTAATTGCATAATGAGTGTATACTGTACGACTGAATTAAGCACTGATAAATGGTTGGAGGAACTCGGATCCTTTAGTAAAAAAAGCCAATGTAATTAGTTGCATTATGCAAACAACTGAGAAGTGCAAGGGCGTCTGAAGCAGATGTGTTCTTTGCACTGCTGTTGTTTATATCCTGAAGATTCAAAAAAGCTGTACGTGGCTCTCTTTGATTTTGCCGTTTTGTTCATTTTGCAATTATCCTGAGATTTTAATCTTTCACAAAATCAAAAGAGAGAAAACGCTTCACCTTCATTTTAATATCATGTCCACAATCATTTACATCACTGAAAGGTTGATTTTCCCCAAATGCAATGCACACACCTCATCTAAAAAAAAAGATTAAAAAAAAAAGGAAATAATTTCTTGCGATTTACCTAATAGAAAAAAAGAACTTGGGTTCGAGGAAGGGTAGACATGGAATGATCTGCCATGTTGCGAACTCTGGAATAGTTAACAAATCCCCGGAAGAACAGCAGGAATCCTGGTGTAATAAAAATTACATAGTTGCAATAATATATTAATTGTTAATAAAAAAAAGATAAATTGATAATACTCAAGTAATGATATAAAATAATATTAACAATAAAGTCATAATGTTAAAGTTTTTTTTTTTAAATCATCGGAACAGATTTGGAGAAATGTAGCATTGCATCAGTGTCTCAGCAATGGATGCTCTGCACTGAATGGGTGCCGTCAGAATGAGAGTCACAACAGCTGATAAAAACACCACAATAATCCACACCACTCCAGTCCATCAGTTAACATGCTAGCTGCTTGTTTGTAATAAATTCATCAACAAGACATTTTAACTTAAAACCCGTCACTTCTGGACAAAATATGAGTCCATAATTCATAACGCTTCCTCCAGTGAAACAGCCCATCTCTTGTTGTCCTCTCACATTTGTTAGAACTGTTTTGGCTTTGATCTGTGCATTTTTTTCCTCCTGATTCAGAAGAGACAAGTTTTCACTACAGAATGCAGCCGGAAGAAACATTTTTAACATTAAAACCTTTTTAATGATGGATTTGTTTCTTACAAACACTCAGCTTTTGACTTCACGAGTCGTTAACTGATGGACTGGAGTGGTGTGGATTATTGTGATGTTTTTATCAGCTGTTTGGACTCTCATTCTGACGGCACCCATTCACTGCAGAGCATCCATTGCTGAGACACTGATGCAATGCTACATTTCTCCAAATCTGATGAAGAAACAAACTCATCTACATCTCGGATGGCTAACTGTCATAACATTTTTATTTTTGGGAAAACTATTACTTATTTTTAATGAATCAGTGCAATAAAAACATTTATTTACACTCACCTACAACAAGGAAAACCCACCACAGCCAGTACTGGAGTAAACTGTCATAACATTTTTATTTTTGGGGAAACTATTACTTCAACAATAATTTTTAATGAATCAGTGCAATAAAAACATTTATTTACACTCACCTACAACAAGGAAAACCCACCACAGCCAGTACTGGCCATCAAAATATCCAGGGAAGTAGGCAGAATACTGTTTAATCACAGAAAGAAACGGGTGAGTGTTGTTCATCCTCTAATAAAAAACACTAATACAATAATATGAAATTACAAATAATATAACAAATATTTGAAAGCATATATGATGTAATACGGAACATGTCATACCCTGACAATCAGGACCCATTTGACCAGAGACAGTCCAAACCCAGAGATGGCCCCATAGCGTCCAGCCGCAGACGAGGTCAGACAGAAGGACAGGAAGAAGCCAATCCAGTTAAAGAGGAACGCCACTGATGATGCAAAGAAATGAAGAGATATTAACATATCTGATGACAAAAATTAATATTTTGCTGAGTGTGTTTTTGCGCTGGTACTTTATCTGGTTTAGGCCTGTTATGGATAAATAAATATGACACTAAAACTGCCACTAGGTGGCAGCAAGTCCCTGTCTTAATGAGCGATTTACTGAATCATTCTTTCAAACTATTCATTTAGCAATGAAGCAAGCCTTTACACTCATATGATTTGTTAAAAAAATTCAGAACCGAAACAGCACAGTAATGCTCTGAGACGCATACATGTTCTGCTCTGGCTCTGATCGGAACTATTTTCGTAGGAGAAACAGAAAAAAACGAAACAGAAAATGTGTCACTCCATATTAACCTTTTTAAACTGATGTATAAAATTAATATCACATTTGCGATTGCGATCACATGCTAATATTTAGGAAAACAGCTGATGCTTGGGTGATATTACTTAACTACATAAATATAAAAACTAAAAACTAAATTTTTTTCCTTCATAACTTGAATTATAGGCTCATTCTAACTGCATTCTAATAGGCTTCCTCATGCAGTGAATGCTTTTGGACTCTCAAGACGTGTTTTTTTTTTTTTTTTTTTTAATGCGACTGACGTACTCCATAATTTCAGGTCATATATTGTTAAAAGAACAATTACGATATTATCGCACACAACAAATAACGCACACCCGTTCCACCCATAATCCACAGCAGACTAAGTGTATCGTAAAGAGAAAGAATAAACCAAAGACACAACAACAACTGTTCTGCATCAAAGTACTGTGTGCTCTTACTGAAAAACGTAAGCATGAAAATCCCATCGTTCCCAACCCGCAGTTGATCTGTATCATCAAAGCTGTCTCTGGCAATGAAGTCCTCATCCTGTAGTAGAGGAACAAGCACGGATGTGTCAAAAGAGTGCTTAATTAACTGTGATTACCCCTAAAACCGCCACAAACGCTCACCCTGTCGGCGACTAGAGGAACGGTGGTCTCTGCTTTGCTCCTCTCAGCCTCGTCGTATGACGGCAGTGACGTGGCAACATTGTATGAGGGGGGTTTGGGGTAAACCTCATCTTCTTTGTACTCAAAGAAAGCTACAGCAAACGCATCAGACAGAGTGAAACGGTTAGGAATAATGACAGATGCAGAAGTTATTTCACACGCTCACGTTACCTGCGTTACTCGCGGTGATGCTGCTGTACGGTGGAGGCGCATCCGCGGCTTCTTGAAACACCTCCGCTGACTCCTGCTCATTATTCAACTACACAACAAAACAAAGCTGCTGATATCATATTACAACAATATTAATTTTAATATAAGATGAAAGTAAAATTGTAAATAATAAAATCAGAACACATACACACACACACACATATATATATATATATACACGCACACTGTACCCATGTACAGTCATTTTAGACACTGTTGCAACAGAGATGGAAATACAAATTTTAAATACATGAATTATGTTTTCATCTCTGTTGCCACAGTTTTGGATGTTTTTTTTTTGTTTTAAAGAAGGGGGTGTCCCAATACTTTTGTCCATATGGTGTATGTCACAAGTCACTGGTGTTCGGTGATGAGGTTTTGGCTCAAGGTCTGCATTTAAAGTCACACCAGAGGGATTCTGGGATTCTGCAGACCAGTCAAGTTCTTCCACACGGACTCAATCAAGCATTTCTTTTTGAATCTTGCCTTATACACAGAGGCATTGTCATGTTAGAATAGAAAAGGGTCCTGTCCAAACTGTTCCCTAGAATATCATTATATGTGTATAGTGTGTACATGTGTATGTCTGTGTGTGAGTATATGTGTGTGTGTGTGTGTGTGTGTGTATGCGTGTATATCTGTGTGTGTGTGTATGTGTGCGTCAGTGTGTGAGTATGTCTGTGTGTATGTCTGTATGTGTGTGTGTGTGTGTGTGTGTGTGTGCGTGTATGTGTGTGTGTGTGCGTGTATGTCTGTGTGTGTGTGTGTGTGTGCGTGTATGTGTGTGTGTGTGCGTGTATGTCTGTGTGTGTGTGTGTGTGTGCGTGTATGTGTGTGTGTGTGCGTGTATGTCTGTGTGTGTGTGTGTGTGTGCGTGTATGTGTGTGTGTGTGCGTGTATGTCTGTGTGTGTGTGTGTGTGTGCGTGTATGTGTGTGTGTGTGCGTGTATGTCTGTGTGTGTGTGTGTGTGTGCGTGTATGTGTGTGTGTGTGCGTGTATGTCTGTGTGTGTGTGTGTGTGTGCGTGTATGTGTGTGTGTGTGCGTGTATGTCTGTGTGTGTGTGTGTGTGTGCGTGTATGTGTGTGTGTGTGCGTGTATGTCTGTGTGTGTGTGTGTGTGTGCGTGTATGTGTGTGTGTGTGCGTGTATGTCTGTGTGTGTGTGTGTGTGTGCGTGTATGTGTGTGTGTGTGCGTGTATGTCTGTGTGTGTGTGTGTGTGTGCGTGTATGTGTGTGTGTGTGCGTGTATGTCTGTGTGTGTGTGTGTGTGTGCGTGTATGTGTGTGTGTGTGCGTGTATGTCTGTGTGTGTGTGTGTGTGTGCGTGTATGTGTGTGTGTGTGCGTGTATGTCTGTGTGTGTGTGTGTGTGTGCGTGTATGTGTGTGTGTGTGCGTGTATGTCTGTGTGTGTGTGTGTGTGTGCGTGTGTATGTCTGTGTGTGTATGTGTATGTGTGTGTGTGCGTATGTCTGTGTGTGTGTGCGTGTGTGTGTATGTCTGTGTGTGTGTGCGTGTGCGTGCGCGTGTGTGTGTGTGTGTGTGTGTCTGTGTGCGTGTGCATGTGCATATGTCTGTGTGCGTTTTTGTGACAAATGAGGACATAAATGTGTATAATGACAAAGGTATGACAGGTATTACAAGGAGAAGGTGACTTTTCAGGACATTACCCCATGTCCCCACT